TGAGGAGAGAAGCCCAAGGTCACAGCGGGCAGAGGGAAGACGGGGCAGCCAGGCAGGCAGTGAATGATGGCTGTGTGGATGGAACATGCAAGACGGAGACAACACACTTCCTCACAGAACCTGTGCACACAGATGAGCGTGGCAGCATCACTCAGAAGAGACACAGGGGTGGGAGACAGGGTGGATAATGCCAGAAACAGGCACAGAGTGCCAGGAGGTCAGCAAGGAAGAGTGTCAGAGTCTATTAAACAACACTGTATAATTGAAGGGTATTCTCAAGTTGTTCAGTGTAAAGTTTAAATGTGCACACCACCAAAAATGACAACTAGCTGATATCATGGATATATACTGATAACCCTCCTTTAATCATTCTACCACGCATATATATGTATCACCTTATAAAATTTTAAAATAACATGAAGCAGGGTATGCTGGTACGCACATGTAATTCCAGCACTCTCTGAGGCTTAAGCAACAGGGTCACAGGTTCCAGCCCATACTGGGCCACACAGCAACTTAGAGACAACCTATCTCCAAATTTAAAGGTAGGTGGCTTGTGACTGTAGCTCAGAGCAAATCCCTGGCTTCAATTCCTGGAGAGTAGAGGGGGGAGGACACATTACAATACCAGTGACAGTCACAGTGGAACAATGTAAGTCTCACTGGCTTCATACTGCAGTGTAAAGTTCACGTTATTCCTTCAACTTTTTAATCAAAGCTAAACAGAGCCATTGTTTACAAAAGAAGAGCCAAAATGCCGCACTGGGTCTTGCAGGACAGAAACAGGCACAAGGAAAACCGGCAGAGGAGCCCCGGCCACAGCTCATGAAAAAGTGCGTTAACCAGCATTCACTCAGTCAACAAGAATGCTTACCTCTCACCTGGCCCTGTTCTTAGCACCAGGAGTAAAGAAACGTAAGAATCCCTGCCCAAGCCTAGAACCATAAGCTCAGACAGACACTACAGTTGAGCATAAGCCCACCCAGAGAGCGATGCAAAGATAGTGCCCCAAGCACTGAAAGTGATGAGAAGACCGGGCACAGGCCAGGGTTCTGGCATTGGCCCAGCACAGCTTTGGGGACCCAAGACCCCACTCACCCAGAGGAAGGCAGCCCCGCAGGTGGCACCGTGAAGTTCAGCTGGGCAACATCATGGAAGTGCAGAACAGAGAAGCTGCCACCCAGCACCACATCCCAGGGCGCTCAAACTGGGGACTTCTTCCTGGGAGCCGCCAACCCACAGGCCCTGGAGCCACCAAGTGTACACCCACTAGCACGGCCAGCAGTGCACACAGCGTCATACCTGTACTGACTGCAACCACAGCAACCTCAAGCCTGCACAGTTGCAACCTGGGCCACATCAGGTCTGCAGGGATGGATGGCCTAGCTTTTATTGCAGTGCCCCTCACCTGGGACCACTAAATCCAAGAGCCATTAAGAGTCCCCTTCCATCCCAGCTCTCCCACCTCCCGCAAGGCCAAAGCTCTGGGCATCTTCTACAGACCTTCAGGGAGTTAGGTACTCCCAGATGCACAATGAGTCGAGATGGGGTGGACCGAGCACTGCAGATGACAAGGCCAAGGAGGGTCACAGCCCCAAAAGGAACCCCATTTCCTGACTTCTGGTCCCTGGGCACCACAGCAGTTCTGCCCTTTTTTTTGACACTGGGTTTTGTGTTAGATTTCTGTGGGAACCAAGGTTTCTGCTGTTCGCAAAGGTCTGAAAACCTCCACCTGCTGCTGCCATCCCCCTGTGGATCTAGAGGTCTGTGATGTGGGAGCTGTCCTTCCTGACTCCAGGACACACTAAATCAAGGTTGTCTTCAGGGCCCCTTCCCAAGGGGGTCACAGAGTTATAAACGCAAAATGAGCCACCACTGCCCCGAGGGCCAGGCCAATTCCAACTCCTGAGAACAGGACACAGGGGACTGTCCACAGAAGGGCCTGACTCACAAGAATAGCAGCCCTTGGCACCATCTGTGCCTCAGGGGATTCTGCACACAGCCAGTGCTGACACAAAGCCCTCCTAGGCCAGCAGCCTGCAGGGCACACAACCACAGCTGGGCCTCAGCACAGGTGGCTTCCTCTCCTCCGGGGACACTTTCCAAGCCATGTTAGTTTTTTTTTGGTTTTTGTTTTTTTTTTTCCAGAACCGGGAATCGAACTCACGACGTCATGCTAGCCAGGCAGGCGCCGTGCTGCTGAGCTAAATTCCCAGCCCCTTAAGCCATGTTAGTTTTGTCCAGGTGCTGCGCTGTTCCCTGTGCTGCCACTCACAGTGCTCCTGAGGGTCTCCACCACTGACCTGCTCTTCTTCTGTGCCCAGGGTGCTGGGAAAGACACACACGCTTAGCACACTGCTGCCCAGGATGAGGGGGGCTCTGCCACCTTAGGCCCAGCCTCCGCTCCTTCCTAGTGCTCAACTCCTGCTTCCTCCTGCCCAAGAGCCTCCACCCCACTCTGTTGTAGGCTTGCCATCTTCCTGAATCCTTTTCTCACACCCCATCTGAAGTGTACTTGTTAAAATAAAAATTTTAAATATATGTCCCACATATACTTTTGCAATACATCAACTATGATACAATATAGAGATTAAAAAGAGATTTGGTATTAGAATTAAGTATAACGATGTTCCAAATGTAGTTTTAAAGATAATTAAAATAAATTCTTTGAACTTAACATGGTACTTAGTACTGAGTACTCAGTATAAGCATACTCAGATATACTATTGTGACATCTTTACAATAAAAATTTATTCATCATTTATCTGAAATTTATATTAAACTAAGAATTGCTTGGTATTTTTTTTTTTTTTTTTTT